AGGTTGAAAAAAACCATTCCAATCCAACAAAGGAAATTATCACCCAGTCCCCCCCCTCCCTTTTTTGGGGAAGGTGGTTGAGAAAGTGGTGGCATCACAGCTCCAAAGGGTTCTGGAGGAAATGGATTATCTGGACCCTTTTCAGTCACGTTTCAGGCCACAGAAACAGCATTGGTCGCCCTTATGGATGATCTCTGGTAGGAGTGGGATGGTGGAAGTGTGACCATCCTTGCTCTCCTTGATCTCTCTGTGGCTTTCAATACCATCGACCACTTGTAATGCTTTATTTTCAACTTCCTGCTTTTGGGACAGCTCAGGGAATTGGGGGTGGGCGACACGGTTCTGTGCTGGTTCACCTCCTTTTTCCAGGGCCAATCCCAATCAGTGGTGACAGGGAGCGAGAGGTCCCATCCTTGGCCCCTCCTTTGTGGGGTGCTGCAGGGTTCGGTTCTCTCTCCTCTCCTTTTTAACATGAAACTGCTGGGCGAGATCATCCACCATCATGGGATGAGGTATATGCAGATGATACTCAATTATACATCTCCATCCCAGGTGAGGTAAGTGTTGCCGTGACCACCCTTTCATGGTGCCTGGAGGCTGTAAGGGTCTGGATGGGGAACAATGGGCTTCAGCTGAACCCTGGTAAGACAGAGTGGCTGTGAGTTAATGGCTCCTCTGTATCCAGAACTTTGTCATCTTTGGTGCTGGATGGGGTAGCACTGCCCCAAACAGACCTAGTGTGTAATCTGGGGGTCCTCCTGGACTCACAGCTCCTGCTCGAAGAGCAGGCGGCAGCCAAGGCCAGGAGGGCCTTTGCACAACTTTTGGGTGTGCATCAGTTATGCCCTTTCCTGGATCGGGATGCCCTTCGAACGGTCACTCATGCCCTTGTTATCTCCCATATAGACTACTGCAATGTGGTCTACGTGGGGCTACCTTTGAAAAGTATCCAGAAGCTACAGCTGGTCCAGAATGCAGCTGCGCGGGCTATTTTTGGAGTTCCAAGAAGGGCCCATGTAACACTGTTGCTCCGCGAGCTGCATTGGGTACCAGTTTGCTTCCGGGTCCAATTCAAGGTGTTAGTTATCACCTTTAAAGCCCTACATGGCATTGGACCAAGTTACCCAAGGGACCGCCTCTTCCCCATGACTTCAACCCGTCCCACCTGATCACACAGGGAGGGCATGCTTTGTACCCCCTCGGTAAAAGAGCTCAGATTAGTGGGGTCCAGAAGGCGGACCTTCTCTGCTGTAGCCCCCGCCCTTTGGAATATCTGCCCCCCGAGGTGAGATTGGCCCCTTCACTCCTGGCCTTCCGGAGAAATCTGGAGACCTGGCTCTGCCACTTGGCCTGGGGTGGGGAGGGAAGACACCAAGTGGGGGGATGGCTAGCCCCTTAGAGGCCTGTAGTCCGCAGCTCTGGAAACCATCAGCTTCTTGGACTTTTTCTTTTCTTTTGGCAACACTTTGTATAGTTTTCATGTTTTATGTAATTTTATATATATTTATTGCTTTAACGGATCCTGTGAGCTGCCCAGAGTCCCCCATTAGGGGGAGATGGACAGAGATAAATCTAATAAATAAAATAAAAATAAATAAATAAAATCTGGCTTTGGCCTTTGAAGCTCTGATGAGAAGCTTATTATTCAAGAAGATATATTTTCCAAAAAGAAAAACAAATTACTTTCTACCTGATAATTTATCAGCTTTACATAGGCAAGAGTCCCCTATTGTGGGGGAGATGGGCAGGGGAGAAATCCAATAAATAAATAAACTAGGAAGTAGAATTCCTTACGTGAAATTATTTTGTAAAGCTAACTGTTGTACAAAGTAACGT